CGGGAAGCCCATAGGAAGAGAACTTCGAAAGAAGCGCTTTGTCCCCCTTGGACTCTACTGCCGCCGCCCATCTATGAGTCAGGTAGACCAAATGATCATCAGCTGATCGACCACGACGAAAACCGTATTGACGATCATTAATCAGCTGGTGATCCTCAAGATACCTCATGAGCTGGCAGTTTATAATGGATTCCATTGTTTTGGAGAACAAGGAGGAATGGCGATGGGCCTGTAGTTGGACGGGTCAGAGCGGTCGCGTTTTTTAGGGATCGGGTGGACGAAAGCCGTCTTCCATGATTTTGGGACTACGCCTAGGGAGTAGGAGTCACGGAAAAGACGCGTTAAAACAGGTGCCAACTCTGGAGCACACGTCCTCAGCACAGTTGGGGGGATACCGTCAGGCCCACTCGACTTGTGGATGTCCAGGGAGAGGAGTGCTTTGCGAACCTAGCGCTATGTAAACTGCAACTCCGGCATGGAGCACTCACACCGCGACATGGTCGGCGTCGTACTCGCCCCGTCATCGAGAGTCGAGTTGGACGCAAAGAAAGAGCCTAACAGATCGGCTTTCTCCTTTGTGGCATGGGCCAGTGAGTCGTCTTCCCTGTGCAAAGATAGAAGAAATGGCTGAAAGAAATTCCCCTGGACAGCCTTGGCGAGAGACCAGAATGCACGCGTTCCAGAAGGAAGGTGAACTAGTTCCTCGCCAATTCTGCCTATGTGCTCTGACTTTGCCTTGGCAAAGACTTTTGAAGGACTTAAGACTAAAGACTTTAAGCAGAATTATACTTCTTTTTTAGAGCGCTTTTGTTTACATCCCGGGAAGTTGATGCGTCAGCCCAGGCTTGGTAGCACTCCTGTTTATAGCATGATACTATTTTACAGGAGCCAAACCATGGCTGAGATTTGACTCCGATGGGCACTACAGAGGAAGGAATAAAAAGTATTCATACCCTGAAGTACCACATCAGTCCTTAATCCTCAACAACGTTGGGATCGTCCGGCGAGAAGCGAACCCGCCCCCAAGAGCAGGATGCAAAGGAAGACCGCATCCTATCCCAATCAGCTGACCTATAGTGCCAAACACGGCGGCAGCCTGCAAAATGCAACCGCGATTTCAGCGTGAATGGCACCACACTCCGGACAAGACAATGGTCCGAGGAGCCTAAAGGGGAGTCGACGGAAATCTGATATCCCTCCGGATGAGAGGTCAGCAGAAGATCCAACAAGCAAGGTGCATTATCAGCCACATCTGGAATCTGCTTAGGCGAAGTAACCAGTTGTGTCAGATCATATGCCAAGGCAAAATCATGAACAGATCTCCCCGCATGATCGGTTGATTATGAACCAAGCCATTCGGCGTGGTGGGCGTTAAAATCGCCGAGGATCACGTTCTGCGGAGGGGATCTGCTGTTGCAACGAATCTGTAGCCATTTGAAAGTGATCGAAGAATCGGTCTGTTTCGGCATTACCGCTATGGGACCTATAGAGGCACCCGTAGACGCGCAGATGGTCGTCGCTGTCTACGCGTAGCCAAAGGATGGACAGGTCCGAACCTTCAAGACTGCCGAGGCGTCGAGAACAGATGTCCTCTCTGACTTATACGCAAACTCCAGCCCGAGGCACAAAGGAGTGTTCCAGTTTGTACCCCGGGTAGGAGAGATACGAAGCATCAGCCGGAGAGGACACCTGCATCTTGGTCAGAAAGACCAGTACTGGCCTCGCCGTCGTGAAATAGTAGTGACGGCGTTTAGGTTAGAATGAAGTCTCCTGGTATTGCAGCAGAAATTCACGGATAGCGTGGCAGGGGTCGCCTTGGTCTTGTTGCTCAACTTGTCCTGAGCAGTTATTGTTTTTTTCTTTTGTTATATTCTTCTCATTCTTCTGTTATATTTGTTATATTCTCCAGGGGTGCTGGTACCCTCCTGGGGTAGATTTTCACTTAATTCCGCTACCATGTTAAGGGGAGGGGGAGGGGTAGAATTGGGCCTCCGGCCACCTCTCACCCGACGAAACGCGGAATCAGAGCTTCCACTTCACGCAGGTATTCTGTGAGGTCGTGGTACCACCCCGGTTTGAGGTGGCCCAAACGTGCAACAGCAAAGCAGCCGCGTGGCTCTACCACTGTTAAAAAACAATCTTCGAGTTTATACGTGGTATAGCCATGCTGCAGCTATATTAGGACTGCAGCACGAATAGGGACCAGGGAAAAACCATGCTCTCACAGAATACTAGCATAAAATAGCAGCTTAATGCTGCTCTGTATCGTATGGTGAGTGTAGAAAACCGGAGATCCTATTTACTGGAAACGAGTACATTTCATCACATTGCATCCAGACATTCCATCTTAGTCCTCAGGGATGACTACGCACCTGCATTTTAATTCTAATTTGAGGATAGTTGTAGACGTCTATGAGCAACAACATCCATTTAACATCAGGTGGACTGTTTGTTCGTTTTTCATCCTTATTCTATAAAAAAAGTTACAAACAAGCAAATAATTCACTCGATAGTAAGTTCTGGCTCAACCAGAGTTCGCGCGCAACACAGCAGTATAATTTAAATAATACTAGTTTTTACGGAATTTATCGCGTATATTTAACTTTTTAAATACCCGACGTTTCGAGAGCTTTACAGCACCCATGGTCACGGGAAGGACTGAGATGTTCAACGTCCAGCTGTCATAGTTAACTGCGGTTACCATAGATTAAAATTTAACTTTTGTTCCGATCTACACAGTATGAACTTATGGTATCATGGAGTCTTGCAGTTGTATGCTTGGGTTGGGATTTAATTTTATTTATTATAGGATCCCAAGCAGATGGTAGCACCCAGCCATCTTCTCTATTGAAATTAGGGTGTTTTTTGATTTCAATAGCCTCGCGAATCATCCTTGGAAGGAATCGGTGTTCTTTAGCGAGCGATTTGTGGTCTATCAAATCTGATGTAGTGACAGGGGCGATCCTGTACATGTTCACAGACTGCAGACTTCAGCAGTATAATACAGCTGTCAGTGGCGAAGCTAGGGCTCCAAACTAGGGCAAGCCCAAGATATGGTTTTGTTGTTTTTAGCAGTTTAATAAAAATACATCAATCTTGAGCTGTCTCCACTCTTTAGTTTCATATTCAGTGCTGTCAAGGACGTGTTTAACAAAGCACACAGAAAGCATACTACCGCTAGATAGATTGTATGACATATGCAATTGCACACCTTCGGTGGTTTTGAAAAGAGCCGTTTGGGTTTGCTTGAGATATTTACATACAATAGAATACATGAACAAAAGAAAAGCATGAATAAAGTACAAACAAACTATGTACAAAGTTAAAAAAGGGACACCTGGCAGATGTGAAACCTCGAAATTATTTTGTTTAAGTTATATGCATAAAAGAACACATTACGACAGGAATTAGATAGTTATAACGAGAAAATAAAAAAATTTTACCATAAAATAATGACTATTTATCATATAATTATTCATTTTTAATTCATAATAAACCGTACAAAATGATATTTTTGAACTCATATGGTAATATAAATTAGCCGATAGCGTATTTGTGCCATCTAGCGTTGTCTTAGCGTAATTCTCAATCTGGTACCATCGTGAGAATCAACCAATTTTCGTTCGATAAAATGACTTTACCTATGGAATTAAGTAGATGGCGCTATTAAAATTTTATATACTGGAAACTACTTTTTAACTAAAGGGAATATTCTTTAAAAACCTCAATACATTCTTCTGTATTCTTTTGATTTATTAACATTCATTAAAATTTGGGCTTCACGTTAAGAAAAGATCGTAACACTTATTTCCTATAAAATTAAACCTAGGTGTCTCATATTTTATGCTGCCGTTCAAATTGATATTATTAATTCATATGGTAATATAAATATTGAGTTATTAAACCTTTAAATACGCCTAACTTAATTAAACTTTAATACTAAAGAGCCCTGTACCTATATTTAAAGTATGAAGAAATGTTTATTGAATATTAAATTTCATTTTTAAAGATTGTACGTTTTCCTCGCCGATTAGCACTTCAACACACTTATATTCATCATAATGAACACTATTATCCTCCCATTTTCACTGAAAATCCTTGAAAAAACATAAATTTTTTACAAACACAACAAAAACAAACATAAACATTGAAATGTGAAGTGAACTTTGCACCCGCACCCCATTCGCTAGTCGCTAATGCACTCCTAAACAATTTCAAGGCAAAGCCAGGCTTGTTGGCTCAATACTAATTGCTATATAAACATTTCGTAGTTATATTTCATTAGAGGACATTTTGACACAGTTAGAAAGGGAGCGATCGCCTTCTCGTAAGCCCGGTAAAAAGCCCATGCGTGCGAGGGAGAAAACCAATCGCTCAATTCAACTCTCCTTATATGTATGACAGCAGTATTCGTAAGGCTACGAGGTCGAACAGAGTGCGCGGGAAATTTTAAATAGTTTGAAACAGTTTACGAGTTATTTTATTACTTGATATAATTGATTGATTCATCTTCAATTATAGCAAGCCGGGCTTTTGGGCTTGTATAGAGGCTTCGCCACTGGCAGCTGTGTTTCGTACAGTAAGTGACAAGAACCGGAGACTTTTTACTGGCAATGGAGCATTCAATCTTAGTCCTCGAATGCGTATTTGCATTTAGATTCTTAATCGAGGATAGACCATCGTCTATAGGCCACAGCATCTATATACCATTTGTGTGAGTTCGTTCATCACACTTAATTCAGTAAAATGCAGTGGTTATGAGACCATGGACACCCTTAAACGAATAAATTCATTACAACCTGTAATTATACCAGCTACCTTACCCTCCAAAGGAAACGTAGCAAGGTTTGCACTGCTAAATAGTGGCATAATAAATAAGAGGTCATAACCAACCCTACTTCCTAGGTAGTAAAAGAACCTACTCGCAAAAAACTCTAAAACCTAACTGGTTGTTTTTTGTTTTTGTTAAACTATATTTTTGATCTTGTTCATTGTTTCAGGTCGAAGCGGCTCAAACATAAAAGACATAGAAAGTAAATCAGGCGCTCTGATCCATTTTAAAAAGTTCAGCGACAAGGAGTACGATGTTTGCATAATTCGAGGCCGGAGTGAGTCCACGCAGCTCGCCGAGGCAATGATACACGAGTTCATTAAGCAGCAACCTGTTATTGAGGAAGACACCATGATGGTGCCGGGGTGGGCCTGTGGAAGGATTATAGGTAAGTATATGATGCAATTTGGTAGTAATTTCCTTTTTTATTTAACAAAACGTTACTCTATGATTTTCACCAGTATCTTAGAGGCGTCTTACACACAAAAATTGCATGGACATATTTATAAACATTCAGTCCCGGAACAATTATTTATAGGCGATACAAATACTTGTTCCTTGTTACTTGTTCCGGGATTTGAACGGAAACCTCGTCACGGCGCTGATTCATATTTGCCATCTCGACCGTTGATAAATGTGAACAATGTTCACGGCGCAGTGTCGAAGGCTCTATAAAGTAAAGGCCATACCACCGTCACACTCCGGACACTCCATACAACGCTCGCAAATTAGTTATCTATTAATACTACATAGGCAAATGACGTCTGTACACACGCGCAAATGTGTACGTGAAATTTAGTAGGGAAGTGCGGCGGCCGACGTTGAAGTGGCGGCGGGGGGTGGGCTTCAACGTCGGCTTACGGCGCCTCTACACGTTGGCCAACACAGTGGCGAATGTAGTGGCCAATAGCATTGGCCAACGTGTAGACGGGGTGTTTGGGCTTCATTGGTATGTATTGGAACGATGGCCCGCAAGTTGGCGCGAGATCCGTGTGGCGTCGGTTTTTTACAAAAGATCAAAGGATTGTTGGCAGAGTTTGGTCGCCGCGTCCACACGTTGGCCGCGCGTTTAGTTTGCTACAAGCTCCCAGAGTGATTACACGCATCTGATTTAAATTTTATATTCAAGCTTTGTAGGGTGGATTTTTAGTGCCAATTTCAACTTTAAACATTCCTACTACTTTAATTAGCGCGATTTAATTATTATTGAACATTTGTTTTAATCAATAAGCTACTTATCAAAAAAAATTAACGTTTTTTTTACAATCAGATTATTACGAGAACAATTTTAAAATGAAAAAAAAAAATGAAGCACGTCGTTTATACGTGGTAGAAGCATGCAATTATATTAGAAGTATAGTTGCAGCACGAAGGTCGGCTCGACCGGGGAAGGAGTGATTACACGCACCTGATTTAAATTTTATATTCACGCTTTGTAGGGTGGTGCCCCTATTAGCCTTTTAGTGCTAATTTCAACTACTACTTTAATTAGCGCGATTTAATTATTTTTAAATATTGGTTTTAATCGATAAGCTATTTATCAAAACAAATAATGAACATTTATTTACAATCAGATTATTACGAGGACAATTTTAAAATGAAAAAAATGAAGCACATCGTTTATATGTGGTAGAACCATGCAGTTATATTAGAAGTATAGTTGTAGCACGAATGGGTCGGCTCGACCGGGGAAGGACCACGCTCTCACAGAATATCAGCGTAAAATAGTAGCTTAATGATGCTGTGTTTCGTATAGTGAGTGTAGAGAACCAGAGACCCTTTTTAAAGGAAACGAGGCATTTCATCTTAGTCCTCACGGGTGACAACGCATCTGCATTTTGATTCGTAATCGAGGATAGATGTAGATGTCTGTGGGCCACAGTAACCACTTACCATCAGGTGAACTGTGTGCTCGTTTGTCACACTATCCTATAAAAAAACGACGATTTCTTATAATTTAATCGTGCAAGATTTCGAATCATCATCATCATTACAGCTGTTCACAAGTCTACTACTGAACATCCTCCTCCACAGACTGCCGCAAAGCATGGTCCTGAGCCACTTTGCTCGTCATGAGTTTTTCATTTATGTTCTAAGTTATAATTAGTACCTATTATTAAGTCAATGTTAATTATATTTATTGCTATTGTTTTTGTCTTTCTCAAAAAAAATTAAATTACCAAATAAATTTTAAAACATAGACTAATCGATTATAACTCCTTTAACTTTAAAATAAGTTAAGTTCTTATTACTGGTATTTATTCCAGTTTATGATGCATGTAAAAAATAAATAAAGCTAATTGTATATCGTATATCTATTTACAGCCCCTTTAATAACCACTATTATTTTATAATTCTTTTATAAAAACGTTAACCCCACACTAGGATTTTCTCCCGTATCGCGCAGGCAGTTTACAAACATAAATTGCACAAGGACACACATCCAGACCCGAAACAATTATTTGTAGGACATACAAATACTTGTTCCGTGCGGGATCAAACCCGCTGCGCTCGGCGCAGCCACTCATTGCTGAGCCACTGCGCCACGGTGCTTATAAATTCGTCCGCACATTGGCCCGAACCGAAGTAAACTGAACGACCTTCCAACGTGTGGACGCCGTCACCAACTCTCGGCCAATATATTCGCCACTCCATTCGCCACTGTGTTGGCCAACGTGTAGAGGCGACATTATATGTGGTATCGTAACGGAAATATTAATTGTAAGTAGTTACTTATTTATGGTAGAACGATGAAGTTCCAAATTCATTATAATATATATATATATATATATATATATATATATATATATATATATATATATATATATATATATATAATAGGAACCGAAAGAAACTCCTGTGTTTATCATTCCTTGAAGTAGAAAAGCATCCAAATACAGCACAATATACAAGCATCGTAACGAAAACACAATTATAGGATATCTATTAAATTGTAAAATCGTGTGTTCGTGTCAGGTTAGTCCGATCGCGCGCGCGCCCGTTCTAGTGTTAGTGTTGTCTATAACAAAGTGCGATGTAGGGCTCGGTATTTGAAATGAGTGCGGGGAGGTGAGTGCCCGTTATGTACGTAGTACATTATGTATTCTGTGCCACCGTGGTAGAACGACACAACAACTGTGCTATGGTTGCAGTGGGAATAGGTCGGCTCTACGTCAGATTACCGGCGTAAAATTGCAATTGTGGCTTGTATATTTAATATGATGATACGGTAAGTTATGAAAACCGGAAAGCCTTTTACTAAAAACAAAACTTATCGTCTTGTTAGGGTTGACAGCGAATCTGTATTTCAATTCCTTATCGCGAATAGATCAAGGTGTCTATGGTGCACGTTATCCACTTACCAGGTTGTGGACTATGTGGTTATTTGCCACTTACTTTGACGTATATAAAAAAAACTGCAAAATGCTAACGATATATCCTTTGGACCTTGGGATGTACCTGTTTCCAACAGTAGGCTGATTACATTGATCATAATCGCACCTTTAAAGTAAAACCGTTACTAAATGAAAATTTTCATGAATTGAGTTATCAATGCCATCTATGTAAAATATACGTAAACTACAACATAAACTTGTCATTTTTGTAAAATATTGTATTTTACGCCACCTAGCGGTAAATTAAACCGTTACTAAACCGAGTTATGATCGGCTCGCGAAATACAATATTGTGTCTATATCAGTAAGAACATGTTCGTAGAAGAGTGATAACGGAAGTTTAAAGTAACAGTGTTATTATTTGGATAAACACGGCTGTATGTCACAGAAAAGGTAAGTTGTTAATTTGTTTTAATAGGAAAAGTGTTTCAATTTGTTTAAACACAGTTTTTGTGTTATGAAATTACGCAATTCATAATAAAATTTCATTGATAAAATGTTACTGTTTGCATAGTCACAGTTTGCTTTTTATTTTTTAGGTATTATTCCAATAACGTTTATCTATAAAGAGTAACCATTTGTTTAGTTACAGTTTTACAATAAGTAAACAGTAAATTAAATCATATCCTTATTTACAATAGTGGGACATTTATGTTAGTCACAGTTTATTTCTCTACGCAACGTAAGTGTGCATAAAAATTTTAGAAGTAAAATATTACATTTTGTTTAAATTGCATCTAGTATTAAAATTTACTTCATAGTTTATGAAACAGTTAATAATAACGTTACACATTTCTTTTAGTATCACTTTACTACTAATATAAATAAAAGTTGTACTTAAAGTAACTAAATTTATTTAAGTTAAAATGTCAATTATAATAATTATACGATAATAATAATAAAACCACTTGCTTCAGGTCATGGCGCATTTACGGAACCCACGTTTGTCACGCATTTTGGAGGCTATGGAATCTAAGAAAGATTCCGTAAGTACTGAAAACCCCAAAGTAATATCCATGGACGACCTGGATTATAATTTTACACGCGATGCAAATCCGATTACTGTCGATACTTGTAGATCTCCTTCTTTATTACAAGAACAAGCACTACCTCAGTCCGTTAGTCATACTATGGAAGCTGATGTTCAACCAGTTGATGACGGAATACCAAATCCATATTTGAGCGGTACTGGTTTTCAAGAATTAACTCCAGAAGAAGACCTTACCAGACCAGGTCCTAGCAGTAGAGCAAGATCCAATTCAACTAGCTCGAAATCATCTTCAAGTTCATCATCTTCAAGTTCATCATCAACAAGTTCATCTTCATCATCTTCATCTAGTGCGTCTGAATCGGGTAAGGACTTTTCCCCTGATGAGGTAGATTGTGATGCTGATTATGTACCAGCAACCCCACCTAGGCGTGTATTATTTAGCCCAACTCCTCAAAGTATGAGTTATGGGTACTCATAAAACAAGAACGACTTCTTATCACCCGCAATCTGATGGAATGGTGGAACGATTTAATCAGACATTGGAGAGGTACCTAGCAAAAGTTGTAGACAATCGGCAACGAGATTGGGACAAGCACATACAACCGTTTTTGTTGTCATATCGAAGTTCTGTTCACGAAAGTACAACAGTGACACCAAACTTTGGAACTTTTGGACTTTCGCAAACTTTGGAAGAGAATTACGGCTGCCTGCAGACCTGATCACCGGGATACCACCTGATGCTCCACGCAGTATAACCGATTATGCAAATTACTTGCGGAAAAAAATGAATGACGTTTATGAGCACGTCAGACAATCGGGCCAGCAAATGTCTGAAAAGATGAAAACCCGGTATGACCGCAAAATGAACAACAAAGGGTTCGACGAAGGTTCACTTGTGTAGTTGCACAATCCAGTCCGCAGCAAAGGGAAATCTCCTAAGCTTCAAGCTAAATGGGACGGCCCGTACCGGATTGTAACCAGGATCAACGATGTGACCTACCGGATACAGAAAGGCGCAAGAGGGACTCCTAAGATCGTCCATGTGGATCGCTTGGCGCGTTATTATGGGACCGATAATGCTCGGGACGAGCATGTCTTAGGAGGGGGCAGTGTTGCATGAATAAGTCAACTAGCGCCATCTAGTGTCAGGAACGAGAGCGAGGGGAGCATTGAGAAAATGACATCACAAATCACCCAACCGACAGCGCCTAGTCGAAACTCGAACGCTCGGTACCTTGCGCGTGTTTACTTGAACATTCTGGATATTTCTTTGCTAATTTAAATAAGCTAAGATGCGATGGGAGCAGTGTTGATTTAGCGAAACAAGCGAAGCTTCGGAGCGGAATAAAGTGAATAAGTGTGTTTAATTATTAGTGTTTTTAACTTTACTTTGTGTAAAGTAAATTAAAGTGTTAATTTAGGTAATTTTATCGGCAATTTTTATTGTCACGAACCTCAAGCTCGTAACAATAGTATCTCTGTACAACTAGTTGAAGAAAATAATTTGGGTCCTCCAGAACAAAACAGAACTCCGAACAAACGAAGACGTAAAGGATTTCCAAAAGCATCCGTGAGGCAAGATGCTAAAAGACTTCGTAATAGTGGGCAACAATATACTTCTGTGTCCCCAGTTAAAAAAAGTCATGCCAAAGAAGCAGATAGGACCCCCATGTGGGGAAAAATGTAGACTAAAGTGCAGCGAATTGATCAAACAGGAAGGCAGAGAAATTATTTTTGACAATTATTGGAAAATGGGAGATTTATCTAGACAAAGAGATTATATTGCAAAGTGTATTAATGTTATTACACCTAAGTATCAATATAAAGTACATAATAGCAATAGAGGACCTAAACATTCATTTTCATTCGAGATTAACAATATTAAGCATCGTATCTGTAAAACATTCTTCAAGAACACGTTGGCCATTAAGAATCGACCTATTGCATCTGTAATAGCAAAAAAGAACCAAGCGGGAACGATTGAAGAAGAAAAAATGGGTAAACATGGAAAACAGTACAAAATAAGCTCAGATATAATTAAAGGAATAAAAAACCACATAGACTCAATCCCAAGAATTGAATCTCATTATGTAAGACAACAAACGACTCGTGAATTTATTGATGGGGGTAAAAACCTTACAGATCTTTATACCGACTACCAAACACAATGCTTGAGTGATGGTGTTGAAGCTGCTAAAATTCATACATATAGAAAAGTGTTTAATGAAGATTACAACATTGGCTTTCACACACCTAAAAAAGACCAGTGCGAACTATGCATTAGCTTTAAAAACGCTGTTGATAAAACAATAGAATTACAAAACAGATACGACCAACACCAGCTTGAAAAGGAATTATGTCGCCAGGAAAAGTCAAATGACAAAACAATGGTTAAGGAAAACTACATTGTTGCCTGTTATGACCTCCAGGCAGTGTTGCCTCTTCCGAAAGGAGATGTTTCTACTTTATATTACAAGTGTAAGCTCAATATTTGTAATTTTACTATAATGAATTAGCGAAAGACTATTGTGATTGTTTTGTCTGGAGCGAGATAATAACGAAATAGCAACGTGTGTTTGGAAGTATTTGACAAAGAGGGCATCAGAAATAAATAACAATAATTTACGAATCACATTTTATTCTGATAATTGCTGTGGTCAGCAAAAGAATAAGTTTATGTTTTCTATGTATTTATATGCCTTATCTGTTCTTAAAATTAAGTCTATTACGCACAAATATTTAATTAGTGGGCAACAAAACGAAAACGATTCTGTTCACTCTGTGATAGAAAAAGCCGTTAAAAAGTACTTACGTTCTGGTCCTGTGTACACACCAGATCAATACGTGACCATTATCAGAACTGCACGAAAGAAAGGCAATCCTTACAATGTTACCGAAATGTGCTATTCAGACTTTGTTGATATAAAAAATCTTACAGAGATATGCGGTGCTCAATTTTCAAAAAAATACTGAAGGCAGAACAGTTAAAATGAGTAACATTAAAATAATGAAATTTGAAAAACATCAAGATTTCAACCACGTTAGCATTTATTATAAAACTTCCTACACAGATACATATTTCAAAGAAATACAATTCCGTAACAATCGTTCTTCTCGAACACGTACTAGCACTGATCTTCAAGATTTCCAGTTGAAGCCTTTATATCAGTCTAGATTAAAATTAAGTGATAGAAAAAACAGCGACCTAAAGAGTTTAATTAACAGTAATATAATACCACAGAGTTACGCATTGTCATATTACAACAGCATCTTGTTTTAGCAATACTAAAACGAGATGTTATTGTAATAAGACAACTTATTATTGATGATTATTGATTTAGAAAAACAATGAGTATAACATTATTTTTAAGTTTTTTACGAGATTAATTTTTTATATAACATTTTATATGGCAATAGGTTTGCCTCATTATTCTAATTAAGTGATACCTACAAGTCAACATAACTTTGATTAGCCCTGAGTAGCTTTCGTGGATAGGGAAATAATGCTGTGATTGTAACTTTGTTAAATTAAGTATAATGCTATTTCCAATTGGTTTGTTCCTCATCAAACTGATTGTAAATATAATAAGATACATAACAAGTAGTTAATATAGTAAGATACGTACATGCTGTGATTTAAAGGTACAAATTTCTCAAGACTGATTGATAAATAACTATGTCAAATGATTGTATGGATCTCTCTTTAAATTATAATAAAACACTATTAATTTTGGAATGTTTTTTTATTTGGTAATATTATAACACCACAGCAAATGCCAATTTTATGATTTTTAATTTAAATGTTAAATAATATTATTGTATTTATGAAATTTTAATAGTTTTCTATTTAGTAACATCAGTTGCACTGTAATTTCATAGTAATATACCATAATGAACAAATTATAAATGGTAAAGTGTTACTATAATAATATAAATCAAAATAAATAATACTGTAAATGAAAAAAAATTACTTTCGTAAATCACGTGTCATAATGTAAACAGAGATCTATAATAAGACCTCATTAAATGTCTTAAAGAACCCTACACTCAGATTTTATTGACAAAAAATGGTGACTTTTTTCTAATATTGGCTCTCCTGTAAAATTTTATAATTTCGTTTAGTAACGGTTTTACTTTAAAGGTGCGTAATGGTGGATTAATATATATATATATATTAGTCCACCATTATATATATATTAATTCCAGGTACAGGAGGCGAATCAATAAACGATATAAGTCACCGAAGCGGCGCTCGAGTGAAGATCGAAGGCACCACCTTGGGTGACAACAGCACCCAGCGCCAGATCTCTTTCCGCGGCACCAAGGAGCAGATCAGTGTCGCTAAGGGACTTATAGAGACTTGTGTGAGTATTTCGTATTTTACACTTACAATGATTTAGAAGTTGACAGCTTCCTTTTTCTACCGAGGAATTTATCTGGGTAGGGATCACACTTATACCTATTTGTGCCATTTCTGTTCCATGCAGCTGGATTGCAGACCCTTTTTTTTAAATCTTGATACAATTTCTGTTTTAGGTGGCACAGGAGAAATGCCGTCGCGAGATAGAGCAATCAAAGCGGACCCCCCGGGTTGCTATCCCGCCCCCCCGTCGCGTCACAACCGCAGGAGACCCCAGGTAGACCGGTCCTCACACATGCCAAGTATAAACGGCCTGGTAAGACTAACTGCATGCACGTTTGTGCCTTTGTCTTTGCAAGTTGTCTATGGTTGAAAGTAAAATGCGTTTCCGGGTTTTTTGAATGTATGCAGAGCGAGTACTCATCCATATTTTACTAGCGCAGTATGCTATCAAGAGCTTAAATGAGATATATGACTATAAAGTACATGATTCATGCGTAATACTCGATTATAGTCCTCATCGGGTAATAGAAGTTCGGAAACTATACCAACCAAGTATTATTTAAAAAAGTGATGTACGCTCTGTAAAGGACAGAAACAAACACAAGCTGGTGATACCAATTTCTCGACTCACAGAGTCAATAATTCATTTGTGGGGCATTGTATAGGATATTAGAACAAAGCCCCAGATAATATAAAAAATCTCTCTATTACCAAGTTTAAATATTTTATGAAATGAAAACTGTATAATAAGGGTTTTTAGGGTTCCGTAGTCAACTAGGAACCCTTATAGTTTCGCCATGTCTGTCTGTCCGTCTGTCCGTCCTCGCTTAATCTCTGTGACCGTTAGCACTAGAAAGCTGAAATTTACCAGGTACCAATATGTGTATCAATCACGCCGACAAAGTGGTAAAATAAAAATTGGAAAAAAATGTTTTATTAGGGTAGCCCCCCTATATGTAAAGTGGGAAGTGATTTTTTTTTAATTTCAACCTTAACGTGTGATATATTGTTGGAAAGGTATTTAAAAATGAATAGGGGTTTACTAAAATCATTTTTTGATAATGTCAATAATTTCGGAAATAATCGCTCCAAAAGTAAAAAACAATGTGCCCCCCCCCCCCTCTAACTTTTGAACCATAAGTTTAGAAAATATGAAAAAAATCTGAAAGGTAGAACTTTATAAGGACTTTCTAGGAAAATCATTTTGAACTTGGATGGAAACAACAGTACCCACTACTGGGAACAGTTGCAGGAGCGCGGAGCGCTGCTGGAGCGCGAACATAATGGATACCCATCTTTAAACTCATAAGTGGGAACATTTATTGTGACTGACGGTAAACTACGGAACCCTACATTGAGCGTAGCCCGACACGCTCTTGGCCGGTTTTTTTTATAATATAAATGAATACATGGTACTTAATGCCCCTGGTTGACCGCTACTAAGCTGTTTCTTAAATAAGTTTTGTAAGTAGTTTGTTGTTGGCCTGTAATTTATTGTAAAATTTTACTTTGAAAAAAAAGAACTTCCTGGGAAGAACCCGCAAGAAAGGTCTCTTGATGGTTCTTCCCAGACGGAAATTTTGTCCGAACCGGTTGTACCAGTGAAATAACTTAAATTTAAAATTTCAAAAAAAACCCGAAACAAAAAAGCTGATGATCTTCAAACGGCTGAACCGATTTTGATAAAACATGTCTAAGAACCACCGCTAGAAAACCTGCTTTTAAATAAAAAAAAAACTGCACCCAAATCGGTTCACCCGTTTAAGTGCTATTGTGCTACAGACAGACACACATAGCGGTCAAACTTATAACACCCCTCTTTTTCGTCGAGGGTTAAAAATTACTTTCAATAATATTTACTTGTAATCAATGTTGAATAGAAATTGTTCTATTTTATTCTATTACAATGTGCAGAGGTTAGTTAGAGATTATATTATGTGCAGGAATTAGTTAGACATTGAGATTAGTTAGTTAGAATTCGAGATTAGTGTATGCATTTAGCAAAATCACTTCGATTAATAATTTTAATGGGCAATTGTATGAGATATTGATTTACATTGATTACAATGCTGCATATATTTGTTGTATTACATAAATGTCCGCGGCTTTGGGGTGGCCAAACCTTAAACTACTATTGCTGATATTATAGAACATTGTAGTGCGTACGTATTTCTGATAAAGTAAACCTTTTTTCTTTTGAGTAAACATACAAGACTATTCCGCAGTAGTATTAAGTTCTAGTACTGCTAGTAACAGTATTTTACATCCATAATTTTTGTGCGGTGTTGGAAAATATACTCCATTTACGATTTACTCGAATATCACGCAATTCTGCGTACTGGCTTATAATATCGTGCAGCTCTGCGTATTTTCAATAAACTCTACGTTACTACTCTACGTACTAAGTTTCTCAAATGTTTTTACATTTAATGATTGTAAGGTATTGCTTACAGAATGCAGAAAGGAAAAGCGTAATAGATACTTAAGTTTTTTACCTATCTCCTATAAAAACGCAAATATGCAGGTTTAGTTTCGATATGTTATTAAAAATCTATATTTTATTTTTAATGTCTTATCAAATAAACAAGGATATAAATATCCTGAAAAATTAAGAATTTCAAAGATGAATGAAAAAAATTCTGACAATGATTTACTTAATAATAATTAGTTGGTGCAGTAAAGTCAAGATGAGGAAATATGGCAACATTTTTTAAAAAGTGTTGAAATCATTCAGTAAAGTATTTAAAGGTATTATACAATTTTAAAGAGTGAAGGGAAAAGCTTGTTTGTTTTGTTTTTGAATATGTGTGACTTTGGCATGCTTTTTTATTTATCCTATGCACTGTTTAAAAAATGCACAGAGTACCAATTTAAGTATATTATATTAAATTTCGTACATTAAAAGAATTTATTGGTTATTAACTACACTAGCAGCTCAACGCTGCTGTTTCGTATGGTGAGTGTAGAGAACCAGAGACCCTTTTTACTGGAAACGATGCATTCCATCTAAGTCCTCACGGGGGACAACGCATCTACATTTTGATTCGTAATCGAGGACGTATACGGGCCACTGCATGTACTGACTGTTAGGTGGACTGTATCTACATTTTGATTCGTAATCGAGGATGTCTATGGGCCACTGCATGTACTGACTGTCAGGTGGACTGTGAAAGGTGGACTGTGTGTGTAGTGGTGATGGGATTAGTGGTGTTACGGGATTAGTGCACGCAATTGAGGGAGGGCGGGAGGTGCTCTTCAAACTAGGTAAGACACATCATTGTATTTAATTGAGCGGATGGTTGCAAAGTACCTATTAATATCTTTATTATAATGGATTTCCGAAAAGTAACGCATGATTCTATCAATTATCAATATTATTATATTATTTACATAATGTTTCTCTTCTTAGATAAATGTATTTATTTCATTTTGTATTTTTTATTTGCTGATTGTTTGTTTTCCATTATATATGATGTGCAAATTTTGGTTTGGAAGAAATAGTCCATGGTAGTTTGTGTTTTGTGTTCGTCCTGATTTAACGCTGTGTGTTATTGGTGGGCGGTAGATTTTTTTGCGTATAAAATAATTGAAAGATCTTATTAAAACCATGTATTATATTAAGATGTTGCAAGTTGCATATTCCTCATATTATTATATATTTTTAGACTGATTCCTTATTGATTGTGTCTGTAGTATAAAAGTGTTTATAGAATGTTTTCGTTTTTTGTACAGAGGCCACCGCTTCGTCGATAGAGGTGTACGTATCGGCCGTATCCTCACCATCTCGCTTCTGGGTGCAGTTCGTTGGGCCTCAAGTCGCCCAGCTCGATGATCTAGTTGCTCATATGACTGAATATTATGGGAATAAAGAGAACAGGAATGCGCACGCGGTGAGTAAAATATTGTGATCAATCGCTCAAACGTAAGTTATATAATAAGGTCGAGAGTTTAATGAAAATAAATTACCTAATTATTTATTTTAAATCGTTTTTGTTAATTGTTGTTTTATACGTGGTAGAGACATACTGCAGTTATATTAGTAGTGTAGTTGTAGCACGAATGGGTCGGCTCGACCGGGGAAGGTCCACGCTCTCACAGAATACCAGCGTGAAATAGTAGCTTAACGCTGCTGTGTTTCGTATGGTGATTGTAGAGACCGGAGACCCTTTTTACTAGAAACGAGGCATTTCTGTCCTCACGGGTGACAACGCATCTGCATTTTGATTCGTAATCGAGGATAGATGTAGATGTCTATGGGCCGCAGCAACCACTTACAATCAGGTGGACTGTGTGCTCGTTTGTCTATCTTAGATTGTATTGTCCTATAAAAAAAATGAAAGAGATTATGAGAACAACGCTACCACTAAGTTACCATCATATAGGATTCGATACAACGACATTTGACTGTGAACTAAAAATCAAAAACATTAAATAGTTTCGTCACAGGAATATTTTCAGATGCATAATTGGTCACTACTGTGGTGGAGACACAACAAAAATTTCATCTTTTACATCAGCCCAAAATATGAAAGAATGTGCGCACGATAATAATAGGGCTGTCATTTCCCTTCGTAATGCAAATTAACATCAAGTGCGTTATGTAGGATGTGGAGTGATGCCAGATTTAATTACCTATTTAAAAAGAAAATCCTCCGAAACAGTTTTTTCTTATTTTAAATAAAAATCACCTCTTCGGCTGTTTCTATTACAATTCGCTTGCGTAATTTGTCTTTTAGAATATTTACTTGCGAAAATGCGCTTTCAATAATTGCATTCGAAAATGGCAGGGACAAAATGATAAAGGCCAATTTAGCAACATGTCTGTAACATCTTTCATCAACTCCATTTTTATTTGTAAACTTTAATCCATAATCCCTCCGTTTGATCTATACATAGTCTGATGAAGTGAAGTGTGTTTCATTTTTGGACAGCTTAACCAACGTTACCACAAAGGGACTTAAAACACTGTTATATCTGGTTTAACTTGGCTTTTTTTGGGCTTATCAGTATGCAACTTTCCAAAATCGAACGAATGAATTGAATTAATAGAATTAATTAATAAACGATTGGATTGAAGTAGTGTTGGGTTAGGAATGAAAGTAAGTAGATATCAATAATAATATAGTAGTGATGGGAATTATGGTAGTGGTTGAATGATTTAGGTACTCAAAAAATTTCTAATATTTACCCTACATATTTATTATTGCCGTGGTAGCTCAGATAGTTAACGCTCACTGTAAATATAACAGAACGCGAGAAACCCGGGTTCGAGCCCCGCCGGCACCAATGAAATTGTTAATTGCAATTTTAATTGCTGATTTACCGCGTGCTCGGCGGTGAAGGAAAACATCGTGAGGAAACCTGCATGTCTGAAGAACAAGAAAAAAATATTTTGAAGACATGTGAAGTTCGCCAACACGCATTCGGGCAGCGTGGCGGACACTTCCTTGCCCTAAAACCTGTGCCCAGCTGTGGTCAGCCAAGCCTGAGGCCTGTGCCCAGCAGTGGGACGTATATAGGCTGTAACTTTACTTACTTTTATATTTATTATTAATAATTTTGGAAAAAACTAATAATGATCTTGTTTTTATATATTGTTGCAACATTCTATGTGTTTTTTTATTTTTTTTGTGTATCGATAGTTCGATGTTTTGATATGAATTAGTACATGTAAATGTGGATGGGTGGGTGGTATGTTGCAGCTGAAGCAGGTGAGCGTGGGGCAGGTGGTGGCGGCGGTGTTCCGGCATGACGGCCGCTGGTACCGCGCGCGCATTCACGACATACGCCCCAACGAGTTCGACGCCACGCAGCAGGTACAAATTTCTTACATTAAGCTGTCATTGTTTTATACATGAAGGTTAGAGAACAGGAGAACGATCGCCGTAGAAACTAGTGTCCCAGAAATATGGACACCATGAGTGCGGCGCTGCGATCACTAAGTTCGGTCAATAAAAGTCATTTTCAGTCTATTTTTCCGATCAGATGCTAAACCACTTGCACATCCACGCACAATAAAATTTTTCTTCATGTTTTAATGTTTCTTTTTGTCAAAAATTACAAAATTACGGAGCATGAAAATTTCTCATTAAAAATGAAATGTAAATTTGTACATTATTCAACTAACTTCACCTCTTTTACTCATAAACAGCTAACTTCGCAGTCACTACTCACCGACGTCAGCGCCGCTATATATTCCACAATTTTCAAGGACAGGCGGGCTATGCCTTAGTACGCAGTGATCGTTCTCCTGTTCTCTAACCTTCATGGTTTTATATTACCAGTCTGCAGTTATAATTAAGGATTTAATTTTGTTAGTCAATGGTAAACATAGGACGCTCTCTCTTCTCCAAGGAATGCCACAATGCGCGGTCCTGAGCCACGTGCATTTAAAGACTCCCTGTATCTCGTATCAGGTTGTCTAAATGTAAAAACTCATTTGACCTTTGAATAACTACTGAACAAAGGCTAGTTACTTTTACTACTATACTATTATAGTCTCTACATAGTATAAAACAAAGTCGCTTATAGAAAACGTACTCGTCTGTACGCTTAGATCTTTTAAATTACGCAACAAATTTTGATGCGGTTTTCATCAATAGACAGTATGATTCAGGAGGAAGGTTTATACAGAATGTCCCAGAAGTCAACGTCAAGCCGGAATCGGGTGATAGGTCGAGTCATAATAGTTAACAACAAAATATACAAAAAAGTATTTGCTATGTGTTTTTAAATTACAGGCATTTATAAAAAAGATTAAGTAAATCTACAACCTGTAACGGTCGTTTAACTCCTGTTGCCACAAGTTTTAACTCTTTTAATTTCCTTTTTATTATGTAATCCTGAATAATGCTTCTGAAAACTGTTGCTTAAAATTTACAGCCAACTGCTCCAGTCCAGAAGGAATTTGTTTTTTTTTTTTAAATATTACCTCCACACTAGGATTTTCTCCTGTATCGTGTCGATGAAATGTATTTTTTTGTTCACCTAAGTATTCGAAATTTATAGTTTGCCCAGTTTTAAATGACTGTACTGAAAAAATATTTACTACACGAGTTTAGCAAGTAACTTTAAAAGTTGGCACATTTAATAAAAATTCCAAAATGATGTAGCCCTGGCAAGATTATTTGTTAAATTATGGAAAAATATATTTTTTCAAGAAACTCAATTGCAAAATTAATTTTCCTTACCTGTCTAAAATGTTTTATACACCAAAACTTTCCTCAAGCCTGTAACTTAAGATTCAAGTATGAGTGAAACGGAGGGAAGTAGTTGACGAAATGTGAGCGAGATAGATAATGACGTTACGAGACAAAGACGGAGAGAGTAATTTTACGTAGTTTGAGCTAAACAGGTAAAGACGCTACTTTTTCGCTGTTGCACACACAATTAAGTTCAGTATGTTACGCTCCTTCGTTTACTGCGCATATTTCTGTATTCGTTCGTGTTGATTTAGTACCAACTAACCACATTCGGTGCGTTTGGCAGAAAAAAGCGCTAGCAAGCGCTTATAAGCGCTGAAATAGTTTTCGGCCAGGACACGATTGCTACTTCGGTAGCGCTGACACATTCCGCCATTTTGCTTATTTAATTTGTTTGTTTTGAAGTAGAGTTAATAAGTTGTTTTGTGCAATATTAGTTTTAAGTAATATAATGACATGAATAAACATATACATGTTATTAAAAATTCATGATTGGTAAGTTTTTAATATCAATACTTTACAAACATATATTTAAATTAGGTTAGGTTCCCCGGTTAAAACTAACATCGTGTCCTGGAGGAAAATAGCTACTTACGATTTGACAGTGCTTACCGCTTACGATCGCCATTTTGTTTACAAGCGCTTGCTAGCGCTTTTTTCTGCCAAACGCACCCATTGGCTTCGTTTATTGGACTTGATTGCTTGTGATTGGGATTTGGCCTGTTTAGTTTCTTTTTAAGACTACCTTTGCGTTCCTGTGAACTATCGTTGGTAGTGTGATTGTGCAGTGCCACCACGTTTTGTACACCACGCAAGAATATACTAAAATGTACCTCATTTATGAGTAATGCAGATGCAACGCAAGTGCTGCAGCTAGACTGACGTGATAGGTACCCAAATGCTGCTCGTCATCCAGATCATCGAATTATTTTTAATGTGACTCCTAAACCAAGCAATGGCGACTTTTTATAAATGACTTTAATTTTTAAAATACTAAGCAAAGATTTTTTTATATTCCTCTGTTAACTATTATGACTTGAACCATCACCCGATTCCGGCTTGACATCGACTTCTGGGACATCCTGTATGTATAATACGTGCATATTATAGTTAGTATATTATATAGAAAACAGCTCAGTTTCTCATAAATAGCCTATGAGACTAGTGTTTTTACTTAGTAATGCAGACTAGTGTGCTGAGTGTCTTAAGAGTTATTCAAGGTATACGTCACTTGACTCATTCTTTGATGGCCTCTGCCTAAGAATGGATTAAAAACTAATAAGGAGTGATCTCGAGTTGATTGTAGTACAACTCGAGATCACTATTTGATGTTGTTGCCTGAAAACATATTACGCCGAACTTGTTCCAAAAATGAATTAATTTTTTCTAACGGAAGCAAATCCTTTCTAGTTCAGGATATAAACTAATTAATGTAATTTTGAATTATGAAATACAAATTGTCGAATTGTGTTATAGGTGGCGGACGTTTTCTTCTTAGACTACGGCGACAGCGAGTATGTCGCAACGCATGAGGTGTGCGAATTGCGCGCAGATCTGCTGCGGCTGCGATTTCAGGTCTATTACATTCTTAATTCATTAAAGTAAAACTTCAGCAGGCGTGATTTAAGTGATTCAGATATTATTTTCGGACGCAAGTAACTTTCAGTCAAATTTATTGTTTGGCACAGTTTCCGCGCTTATAACGACAGCGAATGACGGGTTATTGTATATATCGAAATGCGCGAATTTTGTATGTGTTATATACATATATAAACCAATATTCAGATATTATACTTTCATTACTAATTTAATTAATAAGTGAATTTTGAGTTATCAATAATTATAAATAAATATCTATCCTCGATTAAGAACCAAAGTGAATAGGCTCTACACATACCATACGAAACACAGCAGCATTAAGTTGCCATTTTACGCGGGTATTCTGTGAGTGTGGTCCTTCCTCGGTCCTATAGCCATAATACAGCTGCAGCGAGGTTCTAGCTTCTAGCACATATGAGAGGCGTTCAATGTATTCTTGTTATGGGTATGTTAGAAAAAAAAATTATGTTATATTTTTTATTTTTCAATATAGTCTCCCATGATATCAATACATTTACTTGTTCGTAAAAAAAAAGGTTTTCTATTCCTTTGAAAAAATATTCATCGTCTTGGCCTAAAAAATGATCATTTATTGCAGACTTGAGCTCATTATTGTCAGAAAATCGTTTTCCCCGAAGGTCTTTTTTATGTTTGGTAATAAAATAACCACTAGGGGCTAGTTCTGGGCTGTATGGTGGGTGGTTAATTTCCTCAAACACGAAATCTCATACAGCTTGGAGAGCTGCGCCGTGTGAACCGATGCGTTGTCATGAAGAAGCAGCACTTCTTTAGTCAGCTTTCCTCTTCTCTTTTCTTTTATTGCTTCCATCAAACGCCGTAAAGTGGCTAAATATTTATCTGCTGTGATTCACATTCTCACATTTTCTTGTGTACTCGATCAATAGTATTCCTTTGGAATCTCAAATCACTGTGGTCATGATTTTACCGGCAGATGGAGTAACTTTGTACTTCTTGGGGCGGTCTGATCCCTTTTTATGCCGTTGCATAGACTCTGGTTTACTCACAGGGTCATAGTGGTGAACCCACGTTTCATCTCCTATTCCTATCCTATCAAAAACACTTGTTGGGTCGTCACCACAAAGCTCCAAAAACTGCCTACAATAGTCAACCCTACCCTGATTTTGAAGTTAAGTGAGCATTCGCGGCACCCATCTTACACAGACTTTTGTGAGGTTGAGATAGTCATGCAATATGGTGTGTTTGGTACCAACTTTCTGCTAACATCGTAATTCTTACTCGTGAATCTTTTAATACAAGCTTTTCAATAATTTTCATGTTTTCTTCTGTGTGATTGGTCCACCCGGGCAGGAGTCATATTCGTTGCTTTGCCTGCCTCTTTTGAATTCACTTGACCACTTCAGTGCGGTTGAAGGAGCAGAGTCTTGGTAAACGACCACCATTTCTTTATTGATGTTTTTTTTTTTGAGTTTTTCCTTGTTTAGTGAGTAATTAATCACCGCACGATGTTCAAGTTTTTTCAACATTGTTGAGTCAATCTATGACTGATGGTTACATAAGAAGTCATGAAGTAATCAAGACGATATTTTATATTTTGGGTTTGTTCCAAAATACAACCCAGTGTACTGTCCAATGCAAATGACGTCATGAATCGACGCTATACTGGTGATTCGTTCCAAAACAAAGGACAGTATATGACGTCATACAACTGCGCCGTATTGAAAAAGTGTTGGCGATTATATTTTGTGATTTTGTCTCCAAAAATCATTATATCCTCCTAATTTAACCAGTAATTATTCTATAATTTTTTGTATTTGAATAAATAAAAACAAATTCTGGTATGCTTCATTCAGCACACACACAATTAAAAGTTATTTTATTATGGCCGGATATCCGACACAATATGGTGGCGGCACACCAGTGCCATATAGTGTCAATTGATGACGTCATTTGTATTCGACAGTATACTGAAAACGTTTTGGAACATACCCTTTATACCCTCAGGTAGTGTCGTTGTTCGTTTTTAATTACCCACATTATTAGCAAATCACCCTAATAACGAGAATACATTGAACGCCCCTCGTATGTAAATACTTGTGAGGAACTGATGAGGTGTTCATGTTGGATTAACCCATAACGTATATTCAGGCTATGGAGTGTTTCCTGGCTGGAGTGAAGCCGGCGGGCGGAAACAATCGTTGGTCTTCCCAAGCCATCGAACGCTTTGAAGAATTAACACAGGTAAGATATTTTAACAATAAAAATCATCGCCACAATAATCGCCAATGAGCTGAAATGGCGATTTCAGTAAATCCTTCCAAGTACGTGAAAGCATACGTTCTAAGTTAACTGTTATAGACTAACGACAGTATTTTTACTTTTAGGTGGCCCGATGGAAACCTCTGCTTTCGAAAACGTGTACATATAAGAAGTCGATTTCAGTAATCGGAGAGAAAGAGAAGGAGATACCTGGAATCAAACTATTTGACGTCACTGACGGTATGTTCTTTTAAATATTTTAGGTAGTTTAGAAATTATTATACAAGAGCTGTCATATAGCTATAGCTGTCAACTAGTGCGATTTTTTTGGTCATATTCCATAAACAATCATCATTATAGCCCATCAGTAGTTCATTGCTGAACAAAGGTCTCCTTCAAGAAATGCCACAAAGCACGGTCATGTGACACCTGTATCCTTCGACTTCCTGCATCTATTTCCAGGTTGTTACTCCACTCCAGGGTGCACGCCCTTTTTTACCGTGGGGAAATCCTCATGGATACCTTCTGCTGCGAGGGCAACAGAAAGGTTATGCCGGATTCCTACTGGCCAAAACCCCACGGAGGTCCCGGGATCTACGTTCGGAACGCAACCGGGGCCCCTCGCTCGCTTTGCTTTATTAAAGCACGCCCCGGGACGTGACGTCTGTCTTTATTTGCCCCTAGCACCATCGCACATCCGAGTCACTTTCCTCCTCAGGTGTTACATTACTAGACGTTCGGAGCTCCCGCCACGAGCGCCTGCAACCCTCGAGGCCCCGGTTCTGGTAGGGGAACACCATCATGAAGGGGGGGACCGTGACGAACGCTATGGCGACATCGTCTCCGAGCGTGATCTGTCCTCTCCTGACACCGCTCAGCAGCCACCTTTTGGACCATAACGGATTCACAGAAGGCGGCTACGACCCTCTACACCGAGTCCCTGCTCAGCAACACGACTCGGCGTCGGCGACATAACTGCTGGCAGAAAGAGGTTCTAATTGACCCGGCTTGCCAGGACGAGTGCACTTTCATTATCTGTGTAAGTCTGTAGATGAGTCTTCCTGTTCGTTGATAGATCCAGGTTTCGAAGTGCGGCAGGATTGCTTCAGCAACGTGTTAACGCGCATAACGCTCTTCAGAGAGACGAAGACGAGCGCGCCACGTTGCGAATGCGTTAAGTTGTTCCTACCGCTTAACTCCTTCGAATACCTCATCTGGCTCACCGACCACCGCTCTGGCGGAGGACACGCGCATCCATGTCCGCCAGTATGTCCAGAGGTGGAAAGCGAGCTAGGGCTGTCACCGTCTCAAAAGATGTACTATCCTCGCACGATCCGTACGGACATTCTCCACTGCACACTGTAGTTTTTAGTTCTACAGCGTCGGATGGTCAGCCTTTTCGCCCAAACAGGCAGCCCCGTACAAGGCTACGGACCGTATCACTCCTGCATCGAGGCGATGCACTCGCTAATCTTCCAATTCGGGAAACTAGGCGCTCGAAATGTTCTTCGAAGCCCCATAGCCTGTCCAGGTGGAGGCCTAGGTATTTCATGTACTGCCACACCCTGACTCACGCGGCGCGACTCGCACGACGTACGAGTCGGGTGGTTCCCTGTCACGTCTTCGGCCCTCTCTAATGTGACCCCGCGGGCAACCACCAACGTATCTTCGGCCTAGCAACACAAACACCCTACACTTTGAATGCCGTTACGTGGCTGCTACTCGATCTGGTGGCACTATCTAAACTCTTTAATTTATTTCATTGATTTTTGTGTACTATTGTACTATATAAAAGCCTATATAGTGTTGCTTTTAATTTTCCATTTATTGTGTGTAATGTAGCTTTACATTGCAGTTTTCCTATTATTATAGTAGAAGGGTGCTAAGCGAGCATACAGTCCACTTGACGTTAAGTGGATGCTGTGGTCCATAGACATTTATCTATCCTCGATTAGGAATCGAAATGTAGATGTGTTGTCACTCTTGGGAATTAAGGTGAAATGTGTTATTCCAATAAAAAGGGTCTCCGGTTCTCTACACTTACCATACGAAACAGCAGCATTAGGCTGCTATTTCACGCCGGTAATTTTGAGAGCGTGGTCCTGTCCCGATTGAATGTCCAATAATGAAATAATGAAATAACTAAGAGATACATTGGTCGTATAGGGAGTTAAGGTGGTAACTGGGTGTTTTATTTACAGAAGGGTCGTTGGATATCGGCGAGACGTTAATAGCGGAGGGCTGGGCGGAGGCCAGCTCGTCGCCGCGGCCCTCCCCGCCGCCCGCGCACGCGCCCCCCGCCACGCCCTTCGGAGACCTCGGCAGCTCCAGGTCACTACCTTCCTTTACACCACCAACATAGTCATAACACCTCTACCCGTAAACTATTCTCGTACAATGTAATGTAAAGTAGTCTCAGGCCTCCGTACTAGCACTCCACACTCCAAACTTGCCACTTAATTACTGTTGTGTTTTTATATACAGGGTTATTTTTCAAATAGTAGCCAAATGTTATACTTATCTTCAAATATATAAGTAATAATATATCGTTATTGCAGTTTTTGAAAATACGAGAAAATAATGCTTCTACTTTTATTTTAAATTATTCCAAATTAAATGTGATTTATGAACAGCTACGCGTACGCGCGCTCCCCTGTATGCGATTCTATTTCACCACGTTCTTGCCGACCGAGCGACACTTAAGAATGTGTGCGAGCGTCGTAAAATATTAGCCGTTAGATATTTATGAACGACAATCTTTTTCTTTTCTGAATTCTGAATTTAAAAGATAAAGAGGACAGAATTGAGTTTAAATTTTTTTTCTTACCCATTTTGTACACATATTACTCATTCTGAACCTTCTCTGCAAATTTGGCCGTCTATTGCAAAATAAGCCTGTATAAAAGGAGGCAATAAAGCATACAGCTCACCTGATGATAAATGTCGACCGCCGCCCATATGAACAACTGCAACAACACCAATAAGAAATAACCAGGTAATATTTTTTAAATCCCGCGTTAAATGAAATTGTTATTGATATCATTTTTCTTTTTCAAAGTTCTCGGTCGTATGTAAAACATAAGATTGTACGAATGAATAGATACATACAAATAATACAGTCATCCTTTCAAAAACAGTAAAATCTGACGAGAGATCTCTTACGAGAAAATATGTTGAAATTTGATCATCCAAGAATCAGAACTATTAACCCTTCAATCCCCATAAAATTGCAGTCGCATGCGTCCGGCATATCCCGAGCGGTCGCATGCGACCGCGCCTACCCACAGCACTTTAAACCATAAAAACTTATATTTAGAGACTACTTTTCTATTAAGAATTTTGGCATTATAAAATCTATACAAAATTCTCTATCCTGTGGTCTAAACAAAAGTCAGGTTTTACTTCATTACAACAAGATTTTATTGTATTTTGATAACAAAAAAATACATACATACACACAAAAACTTTCATTACAATTTTATGATAAAACAGTATATTAAAACACTAGAAAAATCCATAAATCAACACAATAACATTTACACGAAAATGGCGTTCGAAATAAATGTAGATTATAAATAAATATCCATTAACTAACTGACTTTTTATTCCACTAGAGGATAGAAAATTGCATATTGATTCTATAATACCAAACTTCTTCATAGAAAAGTAGACTCCAAACATAAGTATTGATGGGTTAAAGTGCTGTGGGTAGGTGCGGTCATATTTAACCGCTTGAATTTTGACGGAATATCGAAGCGGTCAAATTTGGACGCTTGCCGTTTGAGAGGTTAAACTACTTCCAAAGGAGATGTTAATAACGAACATCAAAGTAACTTAGTAAAACTTAAGTAAAATTATTGTAATAATATATAAATAATTACTAGTTTTTACGGAATTTATCGCGTATATTTAACTTTTTAAATATCCGACGTTTCGAACGCTTTACAGCACTCATGGTCACGGGCGGGACTGAGATGTTCAACATCCATATGTCATAGTTAAATAAATAAATTCCGTAAAAACTAGTATTATTTCAATGTGTAGTGTTCGCGTAAATATAAGAAATCATTATTGTAATAATATATAAATATATTACTGTTATTTATTCTACGACAACGACTAAAGATTACAATTGACTGAAATAATATAATTTCAGTCAATTTTAGGAAGTCTTTAGTAAATTACGCCGCAGTTCTGAAATAATCTATTTAAATGTAATTTCTTGACATTTTAGGGTACTAGGCATGTTCCCAAGCAACCGCTCGTCGTCCTTGCCCAAGGATCACAAGGACGATCGCAGCGAAAAGGACTCAACACCTGAACTTCTGAAAGGTAACATTGATTTATAAATACATCACGGAGTATAGGCTTTCTGTCATTTTGGAGGAGGAAAGGGTCTACAGTTTCTTCAGCATATGTTCGAAATATTGAAGTAAAACCTTTTTTTTGACAACAACTTTACAGCAAGTTATAAAATACTTAGCATTAGAGGTTAATTGCTTGAGGTGACAAACAGAGGAGAAATCTAAAGTGCCCCGCTCTTCACATTCACTCATTTTCTCTCTCACTCTCTTTGTTGTTTCTCCTTGCACTTGTTCATTTCTCCTCTCTCAGATACATAATAAGCGTAAGTGTTGTAGCGCACAATATTATTTACTGACGTTTGTTTGTAGTGACTAAAAATAAAAATAAAAAACAAATACATTTTTTTAGAGTATTTTTTTAGTCACTACAGTCCTAAGCTTTCATAAACTCGTCATTTAAATCATCACCAAAGGTCTTTTTTAAGTTCACTGCTGGCTGTTGGACATAGACCCTTTTAAGGCTGTGCTATCTGGCAAGCATTTCTTAGAACCACCAATAGTTAATTTATTTAAATTTTACTAACACTAAAAAGCGCGTTGTAAAATCCACTATTCCTCTTGGGCCTTAGTTTTAAACATATAAATTTATTGTTAGTATTTACAATCTATTTAACTGTTACACAAATATTTTCCCAGATATGACTCCAATATCACCTTCAAAATCACTATCGTCAGGGCTAGAATCTGCAGATAAACTGAAATCCGTATCTAATTTCGACCTCTCTTATTCTGAATTCGGAAAACCTTCCCAAGTAAACGGCTCACACGAAGACTTCCTAGATAAAGAGAGGAATAATGTAGACAAAGAATATGATGGAGCTATGTCGACTCCTAGCACACCGTCTTTGAAAACGAGAGACGAGTTCAAAGCCAATATGAATAGGATCGATTCTCATCACAGTAACCTGGAGTCATTAGCTCGGTCGCAACACTAGTTATATTAATGGTAAAGATAATATAGTATTAACTCCCTTATTCATAATTTTTTTAAACGCTTTAGTTAAATAGTGTTTTATCTCATTCTGATATTTGCGAGACATTTGTTGCTAGAAAGTGACAAAACACTATTTAACTAATCAAGTGCTTAAAGTTTATGAATAAGGGTGTATATTTTTATGTCTTTATTGAAGACTTTGAAAGCAAAAAATACAAAAACTGTAAATATCGAACAAACTCAATTTTTTCTATAATTTTTATACTCTGTAAATTACGTGTAAAAATCTTATAAATAAAAAAATAAAAATTGCATTGGCGAGTAAAATTAAAAATTATCATATTTACGTATCTTTCACAGTCTTCAATGTATAAATGTTTTAGAAATAAATGTTTAGTAACAACATTGGCATCTGTAAAATCGCAGCTTTAACCTTATAGAATAAGAACAAATGTTTTATGGTGTGACCATAGAGACAAAAAATTCTATGTATTATTTTTACTTATCTGTGGTTTTTATTACGCTACTGTAATTTGTTTATACTACCTATAAGAACAAATTGTTAAACTATTCACTGTAGTCGTATACAACTAATCGTTTTTTTTTATTTGTCAATTCTAGAAAGCTTTTTTGTTTATGGCAACATCATATTCATGTCCCTAAGTTTATTGTTTATTGAGTCGTTACATTTGATTTTAGTCTGTTTGTAAATAACGTTTTTTTTTCGTAGCAGGCGTTAACATTGCCGCTTTGTAGATATTGTGAAACTGTTAATCAAATGTGTATTTAGTTATAAAATGTAATCGGTTGGGTGCTTGTGTTTAGTTAATGACCTAGTTATTATGTATAGACAGAAGTCACAAAGGAATATTTTGCGGCATAATATTAACAAATTTAATTATTACTTTTATACATTTATTTAGAAATATGTCATAGCACGTAAAAAGTTTATCAAAAAACTGTTTATAATAATTTTGATTTCGTATATTCCTAACAAATTTTATTCATACACTAGCTTCCCGGATTCTGGTACTAGGTTATTTTTTTGCGCTGAACCCTAATTATTTTTCTAAAAAGTTACTCTTATAATATCAACTATCTACTAGTGAAAGTCCCGTCAAAATCGGTCCACCCATTTCTAAGATTAGCCGGAATAAATAGACAGACATTTTTAAGAATTGTTTTTGTTATAAGTATTGTATAAACTTTCATATGTATTCAGTAAAAAGCTGTTATTTTGACATTACAAACAGACACTTCTATTTTATTTATTTGTATAGATTAGCTTCTTAAGCTATACATATAGAAAAAAGAGGATGTTTGTATATATGAAATCGTTTAACTCCAAATCTATGTTGTGATCGATCACCATGAGAATTGGTATGTATATTGTATAATTATGTACTTTTTGCAGACTTCAAAAAGGAGGAGGTATTCAACACAAAATTTTTAATTTTACCACTTGTCAATGGAGAAGGTTTATATTTATAAACAAAAAACTTTATTTTTTATAAACAAAATTTAAAATTTTTGAATATATCTATCTTTTTTTAATAAATTGATATGCATGCGCTAAAATAAAAAAACGTTGTTGAACATAATCTTTGATATTAACTGGCAGGACAGCATCTGCCGGGTTCAGCTAGTCTATACATAAAGAAATATAACTCGCGGCACGTAACTCTAACGCTGAACGAAACGTGGGGGGGATAGCTGCCAATGACGTATCAGTACGGGGGACTGAAATCGACTGGAGAGCCAATCAGCGCGTGCGAACGATACATACGCACAGCCAATCATACGCACTAATGCGCAATATCACCGCTAGACTCTCGTGCCGCGAGTTGTACGTCCCCTGTTTAAATGGTGCTGAATTAGTTTTTATTCGTAAAATTGCAGATGAAGTGTTTTTAATAGGTACTTAATGGTTTCGTGTTGTTCGTGTATGACCTTGGCTTTATGTGTCATAACAACACGATGCCATACTGAGCAGTACAAATATTTTTAATATGCGTTGTATGGTTTGTTTGAAATAGGTGTTTAGTTCTCAATGCTATTGCTATCTCCATAATATAAAGCTTAGTTACAACATTGTTTAGCTGATATTTATTTGAACATTGGTTAATTTTTAGACATTCTAGATGGTAGGACTTTTGCCTAGGAGTCCGCCATTTTAGGTGCCTACACTCTTACCTGTTTTGTCGACAAATAGCAGTGCCTGCACTGCTGTATTCCACATAGAATACTATAATACAAAATAGAATGGCTGTCAACATTATTTTGTACGAGGATCGGCGTCACCGGGAGCAGCACACATACAAGCAATTACGTCGTATTATCACTACTATATTGCGGTCACATTAACTTGACGCATCGCTGGAATGCGAGGCCCCGCCCGCTAGCCCCCGCACTCCCTTAGATCGACCGGCAATCGTCAGTATGGTTAGCATCGCTGTTACACTGTTGTAAATGACGTCATCAAAGCCATGCGTCAAGTTAATGTGACGGTGTTTTAAAACCCGATTCGCTGTGTTGACAGACTGAGTAAATTTACACATTTTAGACTTTTGATTAATGTTCAAGATCATCATTAAAAAAAGTCGCTTAAATTTTATTACATATTTATTTGTGAATAGTGTGCAATTTAGCATTTTCTAAATAATTTGCATACGAAATTTGGAAACGATTGTAGCGTCAAAACACATCTCGTGTTGACATTTATACGTGTGAATTGAAATGTTAGTGACATTTTGGTTGCTACACGGGCGCCGCCCACTTCCCCGTTCTATTATGTATGTATTATAGTATTCTATGGTGTTCCAAATATAGTGAACCAGTATAATTACAGTCTGTAAGGCATTCCGTCTTTATTAATAGACGTGACAACGCATCTGTAGCCTTCTGTGTTTAAAGTTGGTTGTGAGTGTCCATGGTTGAGGTGGCTACCCCGCATTAGGTGATCCGAACATACATTTGTCAATTCAGTGTTATAAGAAAAAACATTTCCACCGCGTGGTCACATTATTGGTTGGCGGTTGTATTGTTCCCGTGTCTTTGATACTGCATAATATTAACTGCCTCCGACCATATCGTACATTTTTTACATCGGGCAAGGGTAAGTTAAGTCGAAAGAGTGCCTGTTTTTGACATTAATATTTGCTGCGTTAACTAACCATTATTTATTTGTGGAATTATGTCTCGCCAGCGACGCAAAGCCAGGAATTTGCATTAAGAAAAAGCCAAAATTAGGGGCTTTTTAGGTGCTAATTAGGTGCCAAGTTTAAAAATTAGGTGCTCTAAAATTTTCACTGCAACGAACTGTTGAAATTTGCGTTGCTGGCGAAACGTATCGCTTACAACTCCGCAACGATGATAGATATACGATAAATGTTAATAGCAAGGAATTAAATGCTAATTAAGTGCTGAAAATTAATTGAGGTCGGATGTAGATGACGGTGAATATCGGGTTCAGGACTTTACCTTACTATAAGGTATGAATTGCATTTTTTGTTTTTTATCAGTTATATATTATAGGTAAAATAGGTTGCATCTGTACTAAAGCCGAATCAGAACGCCCCGACTCCACGTAGACTCGTGTTTGCCCTATCTCTAGACGGATTTTGTAAAGCCATATGGCGCGGAGAGAGAGCAGTCTCCGCCCGCTGTAACAAATCGCAGGCATCTGTGCGAGCCGTAGCGGCGGCTGAGGCTAATCGCCGATTGTGACCAATAAGCCGAAGCTGCGGACGTGAGCATGGGTGCCTGTCATTTGCTACGCAAGGGCGATGGGCTGCAATTCCCGCAGCGCTGAAGCCGTTGCAGAAGTACTAACTGTGTCAATATTCCTGTGTAAAAAAGTGAGTTGTGTTTTTGAAAGTACTTAATTAGCACTTAATTATCAAATTAATTTTATACCTGATTTTGATTCTATTCTAATTTTCAAAAGACCTGTGTTTTGCATCTGCTTTGTTCTGAATAACGACTTTATTTTTATTAGGGCCACCTTGCCTATATTTGCAGCATTTAATTATTTTTTATTCAATTCTAATATAAAAAAACATACGACATGACGTTTTTTAATAAGATACATTAATGTTTACACTTTTCTGACAATTTAAGTCGGCCATGTCATGTCCATGTCATGAGATCTGTTAAATATTTCATCTCATTTAAAAATGACGCCGCCAGGATTGAAAAAGTTGTAGAAGCCCGTATTGCAATTTTTGTTACTCAGACATAAAAGAAAGCTGTGTGGATTTTTTTTTGACGAAATGTTATACGATTTGAGTAATGATTAATTAATACAGTATGGAGGTAGCATATTTTCCTAATTAGTTATAAGATATGTATTTGTAACAAACTCGAATATATAGATGTTAGTTTGAAATGTTGTAAATGATTTATAACAGTCCATTTTTAAGAAAAATAAAAGAGTGCCTTTATGAAAAGTTATATTTATTTTAACTGCCGTATTAGCCTTAGTCGGGTCATAAGTTCTGTCAAAATCCTATTTAAAATTTTTGAATACTGGCTAGTAGATGAACTTCATTGGTGAAAGAAGCGCAACGTATATTTTAAAAATATAACGTTTGCGCTTGCCGAAAATAAAAAAGACATTAATTTTCATTCATTTTCAAATATGGAGTGGTCGAAGAAAGAAGACACAGTAGCGTTTATCGCGTTGCACCGCTGTGATTAAGCGCCAAAAGAGATTTTCAATATTTTACAAAAATTTAAAATAACCTTACGATTTGTTTATCCTAGTAGCCACTAACAGGCTTGCTGTTAGGTCGTTTGTCACTTCCCTGCCCAGTCTACTGTTGAACAGTTTCCATAGTTGCCACGCTTGAAAGGCGGGAGAGGAACCATATTTTAGTGGTTAGAATCGTGGTAGCTCATATGGTTAGCGCTCGCTGTAAATTTCACATTACGCTAGCAACCACGATATGAACGCCGCCGGCACTAATAAAATTGTTAATTGCAATTTTAAGTGATGATTTA